AAGATTTCCTTCCACAGGACTTATTTAAAGTTCCTCATCGATAAAAGCCGGAGGAAATGACGTCAATTTAACTCATTAGAGGCTAAAAACATCTCTCAAGAGAAAATTTGAGCGATCGGAGAGGAGGTAGTTTAAATTTAGATTTCACATTAGCTTTGTTAACAATGAACAATTGTATCTAAAACACATGTCACAACCGCATTTACCAACGATAGAATTGTTAGATTCACTTTACCAGATGAGGTTTAATTAGGGTTCTTTTTCTCCCCTAAAAAAGAATAAAATTAGGAATGCCTAACATTCAACTGACCGACAGAAAATCGAAGGCTTAGGCTCGGGTAATTTCTGTTAGCATAATTGTGAGCATAATTAGTTCTAGACATCATCAGCATGCCGGCAGAAAACTGCCTTTCGAGCAGAGTTCTGAGTAGAATCCCTTAAAAATTAACGGCGTAGACTAAAAAACCAATCAAACGAATAGTTTTCAATCTCTGTTTTGCGGAGTTGCTCGTTGCTTTAGCGTCTCAGCTGTTAACGTTGACCACCTTATTATGAATGTTAAAAATTACCACCGTTTTAAAAGGTTGAATCTAAGTTTGTGATCAATGAAAGAATACATGTACATATATGTACATTTATAATTTGAACTTACACGTCTGGTGTACTTATTCATTTGTTGAGCAGAATTTGAAGAGAACTTCGAGTAGAATTTGCGAGTTTTATTGCGACTTTCATTACCGGCAGTGCTGCATGGCAAGCAGAATTTGTTATGTAGCGGCCAAAGGCTAGCCAGACGTATCCTTTAATAAAGAGCATGCCGCTATCAATCAGATTTGCAAAGCCACATAAAACTAGTCCTAACTTTTTATAAGCTTCTCAGAACGCAACTAACGCGCAGACGAGAGCAAAACATTTCCCTAGCAAGCACTCCGCGGGGGAGCACCACTCATGCGTGGTAAATTCCGCGCCAGTCATAATAGTTAAAATAATCTCACGTTACTATGTCAATAGTATTACTACACTATTCTGATAATTTTCTTTTCTCTACGCTTAAAGTAAAGACTCTTAAAGAAGAAGCCTATTATTTTTCTGAGTCTATTTGTCCATTTCGGACAAATAGCAAGCTCTTATATAGTTGCAAAGATGGAAGATAGTCATTTGAGGCCCTGAATGAAATGGTTAAATATCGTAACCGAAACGTATCCATAAGGATTTTTTGCTGTATTCTTGCCTGCACGCCTTATCTTAAAAGTTCCCGGAACATAGAAACTCGATTTCGGAGCTCTAACAGTTTTTTTTGTCTCTTCTTGTTTTAAAAATCGATAACCACTCGCATATTTCTACGAGTATTTTCGTCGTATCCTCGTTGAATTTTACCGACATAATCCTGATAAAAATCGATCATATCAAGGCAAACTATTGGCTTTTGCCTCTTATAGTATTGTCTTTTTAAAGTGCAAAAGGAACTTCAACAATGTTTCAGTTGCAGTTGATTACAAATTTACAGATATCTCGATCCAATCGTAGACAAGCAATGTTTTTCTTCACGTGCTATCGCAAACAAAAGAAATAAAGCTCTCGGTTATTAATTCGCTTTAAAATCAAAGAGCTGTGAGAAAGAACCGAAAAGAACCAACTGTCATCTTTTATTTAGTACATTTTAATCCCGCTCATAAAGCCAATGTCATTTCGGTGTACATTATTGACGAAAACGAGTGTTATTGAATTAAGTATGCAATAATTTTCTTCGCGGGTACACTTGTAAATAGGTGATCGCGAAAAATCTGCTGGAAAGCGAAATTTACATGTTTTGGTAATATCTTAGTAGAAAGTCAATGGGATAAATTATTTTGGATGCAGGCACTCGATAATTTGTTGTAGCGGTTAATCATGCAATTCTTTCTGTTTCCCGATGTCAGCGAAGTTGCATTCAGACCATTTGGGAACACTGACAAATTCTGACGTACAAAAAGATTAAAATTTTCAATTTCCAATTTAACCTGATAGTTAAAGATAAGAAAAGCAATTTAGGGATAACACTCAAGATTTATTCTAGTTGATTTATAAAATGAAATCTCTGAAATGCAATTTTTTTCCTCTGCTCAGGGAAATACGATATTACAAACATTCTGATTACAATATTAAAAACAAAACGTGGAAAGGAAGGAAGGCCTTAATTAAAAGATACGACAAACAAAAAGGAAAGAAACAAAAGAATGAAGTTTAAGAAGGACACTGTATCTTCTCCTTTCAGATTTCTCCTTTAAAGAAGAACAAATTTCAGTTGGATTGGACATCATGTCGAACGGCCAAGACCGCCTGGCGCTAAGCATTGCGCAAAGAGATAATGTCTTCGTTGCGGTGGAAGCCACGATACTGATTTTGGTGGACATCACAGCTTTGATCGGAAACATTCTGGTTTTCGCCGTAGCCTATAGAAATCGCCGTCGTCTTACCATCACAGACGTGTTAATCGTCGCACTCTCCCTGACAGATCTACTGGTAGCAACCTCAGTGATGCCACTTTCTGCAGGAGCGCTTATCGCGGGGGTTTGGCCTTACCACAGAGCTGTTTGCCTTTTCCAGGGATTCTGCGTTATAACGTTTGCTACAGCTTCACTTAATACTCTCTCTGTCATTGCCATTAACAGATATTTCTGCGTCGTGAAGCCTAACGACTATCGAACCGTGTTTTCCATGAAAAGAACGCTAGGTTACTTGGTGATCGTGTGGCTACTGGCGTGCCTTTTTTCAGTTTCTACACTTGTGTTTGGTAGGGAAGACTACGCATTCCAACCCGGCAAAGTTCTTTGCGTGTATCCCTTCGAAATAAACATCGCTTACACCGTTTGTCTCGATGTTATGTTCATTGGAGTGCCAACATCAACCATTGTTTTCTGTTATTGGCGCGTTTTTAAGACAGTGCGAGGGCAAAACCGCGTCATGACGGCAAATGGGGAAGATTCTGCGACCAGGGTCAACGTGCGCGACGCCAATATCACCAAAACTCTAGTAGCGGTTGTCGTTGGATTTGCATTATGCTGGCTTCCCGTGTTAGTGATGGACACCACAGACGTGGTGACAGGCGCTCTTATTCTGCCCCGTCAGATGTACCTGTTCTATACAATCATGGTTTTCTTGTCTTCTACAATCAACCCTTTTATTTACGCGGTTGTGAACAAAAGATTTAAGAGAGAGTTTTTGAAGATTTTCCGACTTATTCTAAACTACCGTGAACAAGTTCACCAGCCATCCGTGAGATCATCTTCTCAGTAATAAACAGGTTTGCGAAACAACAGAATTTCTCTCGAGGGCCATAAACTTGAGGGTTTAAAACTCTCACGAGGGCATTACTGAACGATAAATTGATGTTTATTCACGCCATTGCAAATATGTTCTTAAAACTTTAACAGCATAACTGATAAATCGCAATTTCCTTGACAGTAGAAGGGGCTAAATCGTGGATTAGTACTTTCCCCCTAGGATCAGCGTGTTTCTGGCTGTGATTTTTTCCATGTTAAAAGTCCAACTTATTCGAGACAGCATCGCCCTAATAAATGTTGGCTTTGATGACAGCTCTGGGAAAGAATCGAAACCCAAAAACGAAGGAAAATGGTCTTAATACGACACTACAATTTTGCGAGACCCTCACAGTTTGGAGAGACCATACGCACCCCTAACACGATATTTTTTCATCGTATTACAGTAGGTAGACTGAACTGAAATATTTTCCTAGGAGAATAAATATCTTCTGGAAAATTTTAAGAGTTATTAACTTCTGTCAAGATTAAACAGTGTTCTCTTGCTAAATCTGTAACCTATGGTTATTCAATAGATAAATCTTTGGTGTTTAAAAATAGGATTTTTTTTAGGGAGGGGGGGTTGGAGGTGGAAGCAATTTTGTGAGTAGCGCAAAATCAGCGGGTATTAGACTCAAACAACCAACTAGAAAAAGAAAGCTGGTTTTTTCAATAAAAAAAATTAGACGTAGGAGTTCTGAAGCCGGGAACTATACTTTGAAAACAATCCAGAGCGATTAAATATCCAGACCGAAGTTATACCACAAAAACCGCCCTATACAATCATGAAATTAAAAAACCAAATGTCAAAACAGCGAAAACCAACAACCCCAGTGGATTAAAAAACGGAAAAACCATCAAGATTCTGAGAAGATCAATAAAACACCGACTTCAAAATTGATGTAGACGGGTATATATCTCGAACTTATTAATACCACGTTTTGTCTTTTTGACATTTTGTTGCGGGACTATATCTTATTTATCCATTATTATTTTTATATTAATTTTCAATTTAATTTAATCGGCTATCTACAGCAGACTTAAACTCTATGTAAGAGATATAAGCTTAACGAGCAACTGCATTTCCAATAAATTTTAATCAAGATCACAAATACGATACATTTCATATGATAGTTGTCGAATGTGGAGGACACATTGTGCACTAATAATAAAAAAGCTGAATTCTGCCGACAAAGTATTCATCAGATAACATCTATTAATCCTTTAACTCTCAATATCGGATTCAGTTAATTCTCCCTCTGGCTTCACATTTCCTTGTAAATAACTTACAAGAGTTTGGTGTCAGATCGAGATAACAACTTCAACCTGATAAGTTTGAATATTCTTATGACCTGTTTGCTGGATAATGTTTAGATTTTATAGGGAGAAGTTACTTGTTAATCTCTTCTAGGAGTTAAGGAATTAAAAAGCTTAATAAAATCAATAAAATCAATGGTCTTGTTATACCAGATTATTTCAAAGAGCCGAAAGCCACATGGAAGACACACTAAAAATTGTTACTCAGACATCAAATTACAGCGAAGTCAGACGTCCATATTGGAGATAAAATCCATTCTCAAAGCTTTATAAAACAAAAACATACCGATACTGGAGTTGTCAAACTTGCATCAGAAATCAACCAGAGATACACCACGCTTACCAAAAAAGTCAGGAAGTGCCGTGGACCCGATATATTTTCTTTTACGATTCATACTTTTCGTCAAAGTCGTCGGTCCCACCCAGCGGTTCTTCTGATAAATTTAGTGCGACACGTGACAATTGGGGTGTCAGAGATCCCGGAGGTATGACGTCATCTCCCCTCACAGAGCGCCTCACTTTTTTCTCGTAATTAGTGAAACCAAACCTCCGCAGTATAAAGATGAATGGAATAAAGAAACACGACGACAGAATCAGAATGACTATTACAACATATCCCCAATTTGGATATTGAGTCGGGACCACGTCTGCCTGCGATAGGATAGGAAATTGTTTTTATTTAACATCAGTTTTTCACCCCCAAAAAGATGATTTAATTCTCTATTAGGAATGAATGTTCAAAAATCTTCCACTCTGCCAAGTAAAGCAGAACGAAGTCATTGCTTATACGAGAAAAATGGTTTAAATCAGCAGTCGTTTATATGACCACCGTGTTAACTCGGAAGAGCGCCTCGGCCCTTTTTCAAATTTGTTGTTTTTCGTCGCAGTTCTCATTTTAAATTTGTTATGTTCGCAAAACAAGCACGGGCACCTTTTTTCGAGGCAGAGCTATTTCGTGTATTTACGGGTAAACCGCATTCCCATAAGCATGAACAAAGAAAGTAAAAGCTGAATTTACTCACAAGTTCCGGATGCCAGGCTGAATAAACGATAGGTTTGATTCCCATGTTTACTATACTAGCCACCAGAATACTGAAAACAAGGAATGGGGCAACAAAGCGCCATGTGATCTTCCAATACCACCCAGGTCGGCTTCCAATCATGTACTCGATATCATCCTCAAACCTGAGGAGAAACGTAAAACAAAAATTAGTCTCAGAGGAAAGCAAACATTGGGCGAACTTGTGGCCTAGCGACTAATGTCCTGAAATACGAGAGAGGTCTGGATTAGAGTCCTTCCACTGTGCTCGCTCCTAGGGTGGGAGGAGAGAGAGGGGAGGTAAGTGATTCTCTTAGTCGCTCCATGCTTTTGGTGTTGAAACCCTGTAAGTGATGGGTAAGTAAGTAAGTAAGTAAAACCCTTATTCAAACACGATGGGGATTATAACTAGCAGTAAGTGGAGGAAAAAAACATCAAAATATCCTATTTCTAAAATTCTGGACTGAACGCGATGAGACAAACTCAACTTAGCAGTCTAAAACAGCAGTCCTGTCAACGGACGTCCCCCTTCCTCTTTTTCAACCATGAGGAAAAACAAATTTTGCGAGGGATATTTTGCTTCATTGAATATAAAATACTAGGAAAGTCAAACATAACGTGAAGTGTGAAGCTGGACATGTCTTTGCTCTCTTGCACCGAGCATCAAGTATTGAGACACTTACTTGGATGCACCATAGATGTAATGAACAGCAATCAGCTCAAAGAAGCCGATGAACAGAACAGGAATGGTTCCACTGAACGAATCAAACATCTGCAGCCAGTACTCGCCGGACCTCTGACAGAATAACAAACCAACCAGGAAACTAGCAACACAGAGGATACCTGGAGATAACATGAATAACGTGGAATATCCGCCATCATAAGCTTTTATCACGAGCTTAAATTTTACCCTAAAACTCCCAAGATCTACGGTCAGTTTCCTCACCCTTCAAGATGTCATCATTTCTCTGTTAAAATCGAACAATAAAAAGAAACGAGAAATAAAACTCTTGTGAAATTAGGGAAAGAAATAAAAAACACATTCACGGACTGCAGAAGTCAAGCAGGCCTGCAAAGTAAATTTATATGGCGGAATCCGCCGTCACGAGCACACTGAGGAGCATTTCAACCTGATTCAGAGTACGGAAAGTCTCGTGTTTCGGTTATTATCAAGGAATGAGCTCTTCTCCCCTAACCTTAACACATATTAATTTTTAAACCTACCATAGTTTCATTTACTTACCAGTGAGGATCTCTTTCCTGCAAGGAAAAATTTGAAGGTCATATAAAGGTGTGAGCGCTCCCTCCAAAGTTCCAAACATACTGCCGAGTCCAAGAGTCAGTAACATGCAAAAAAACAGCACAGCCCACAGCGGGGATATGGGCATCTTCACTATCGCTTCCGTGAAGGCGATGAATGTTAACCCAGGTCCCTGTGCAGACTGGATACAGAAAGGAAAAAATAGCAACCATAGCGTTTAGCTTCTCTTTTCAAAGTTTTTGGCATCTCATCCATTTCAGTGTTAGTTGCTCCTCATGTTAGACATACAAGGTATGATTACTCTTAATATGGTCCTTTGCTGTTCTATATTTGTTGCTTAAAAAATTTGGCCTGTACATCGTTCAATATACAGTTTATTCAATTAATATGACATGAAGTGCTCGACCCACTTTTCGTGGTCGCTTCCTTCCCTACAAGAATGCAACGGACAACATCCTCGAAGATAAAATGCATAGATATCAATTCATTACAGCTTTTATCGTGAACTAGGAAATGTATCATCTTCACACTGAGTGTACGCACTTACCTCAGACAACCAAAATTCCAAATCCTTACAATGCTTTTCAATGTTGGTGCTATTTCCTCCGTAGATATCCAAACATTCGTGATATGAATGATGGGCCTTGAAAAAAAAAAAAGGGTGGTAACCGTTTTCCCCCAAAAGCGTTCAGCACGGATGTCGAATGTGAACCTAATAGTAACCCAGCTCACCGGCTCTCAGCGGTAAAGCACATGTTCCCGAGATCCTATCTCTGGTGGGAAATTAAGATTCTTACTTGTAACATGTGTTAGGTATGTTACGTTTATGGTTTACATGATCATATCTAGAAATGGCATTTGGTGTAAATCTACATGAATTGTTGACTTAAAGCCACAAATAAAAAGCGAAGGAGTGTTTTTTAAGCGCACTTTGTGACGGAAACACTTGGCTTCTGACAATTGAATACAAATTTTTATTCGACGACCGAATTCCAAATTCATTTACAACCTTTTTAAACATATTTGTGCCGATAGCATTATTTATGATCTTACCTTGAATCCAAGAATGGAGAAAATGACAATTGAAGCAAAGATTGAGGTGCCACAGTTGATGGTGGACACCAGAATAGCGTCCCGTTTGCAATTGTTATGGACATCGTTGTAACTGGACATGGCGATGAGTCCACCGAAAGCAACTCCTAACGAGTAGAAAATCTGTGTGGCGGCTTCCAGCCAGACTTGAGGATCAGTAAGTTTATCAAACTGGAAAAAGAAAACAAAGAGAATACCAAAAATAAGACAGACGGGGTATTGATTATACCAGTTATTTGCTGGCATACAAAGCACATAATAACTTGCAATCTCCTTAAAAAATTTTCGAGAGTTTATTTGGTTTAACCAATACAGGTTTATAAATAGATTAAATCAGTTTTAAGATCTCTTGGGATACTGAGTTTTTCGCAAGCGTTGAATTGTACGCAAATTTCTAATTCTTTTTTTTGTTGTTGTTGCCTGATTTTGTTTGAAAAAACAAAGTGGGATCCAAATTAATCTGAAATACGTGAAATGTCTGGTGAAATAACTTAATCTAGGCCATTTTGATGAAGGTAATTATTATCTCCCATGCTCACAGGAATAAAACAGACTATTTAATTAAAATCTTAGATGTTTCATATTTGTTTCATGACTGGGTTTACTACCTGAGGGGTAAACATGTGTTTGACGCCATCAACAGAGCCTGGTAAACTGATCCCACGACCAAAGAAGATAATCAGTACGACGTATGGAAATGTGGCGGTGAAGTAGACTGCCTGCAAACCAGAAAGAAACTCAAACAATTTTCAACTACTGCAACGCTGTGAACTGAATCTGATTCGTCCTCTCATTTATCAAAGGACGAAAACTGCCGTCACCATTTTATCAACGAAGCACTCACAACTTCTTTGTCAAGCAAGTTTATCCGACCTCTAGCAGCGCGAAGGGACATTTAGGCCCCAACCTCGTTCGCAAACTCATATCTTTGAAACGTTTTTGTCCTTCACACAAACTTAAACGCTATAAAATTAAAGGAAAAACGCATTAGTGTGGCAAGTGTCTCACTCTTTCTGTGGTTGACCACTGCAGCTGGGAAAGTAGGAATACAAACACACTGCAATTATTTATCTTCCGCAAAAGAAAACGAACGATCTCGATGAGTTAGAAGGCTCATTACCGCAGAGAACTATGTAGCGGTTTTTTCTTTTTTGGCGCTAAAAGCTACCTTAAACATGAACCGCAAACACAATACATTGACTCAAAAGAGATAAACAAGACAATAAACCCAGAAGAGAAAAGGATGGAGAAGGATGTCGAAAGACTGAAACAGAGAAGAAAATTTAGGTTACCAGTAAGCTATGGTTAAATACAAGAATATTTATCATAGTACTCACTTTTCCTGCTGATTCCACACCACGCATCATGCACAAGAATACAACAATCCAAGAGAGCAGCAAGACCAGGCACAAATGCCACAGGAGTCCTCCACTCTCTTCGATGGACGCACTTATTTCTAAGGCATTCCTGTACCAGTAATACTGTGTACGGCCTGCTAAGTGACACTCCTCCACGAAAGTGACATTATCCACCATAGGACAATTGGCGTAAGGCAAAGGGTCCTGGAAAGAAGCGAATAAATAGTAAAAGCACCAGGCGATGATCATGTTGTAGTACAGGCCCACCAACAGGCAGATAACCACTGATGCGAACCCCAGTCCACCCAAGAAGGGGTGAATGGCATTCCACACACCCACAGATCCTTGACGCAGGCTCTGACCAATCGCCAACTCCATGAAAAACAGGGGGATTCCCATTACAACCAAACTGAAGACGTACGGGATGAGAAAAGCACCTAGAAAAAAATTTTCAAGAAATGCTGTTCACCGCCTCTCATATCTGAAACTGTGAGGGCAAAGAAAAAGCCGCGAGCACAAAGTTCCTAGCCTCTCGCTTCCAAGTTTCACCTCGTTTTGTTCCCAGAGATTGACGTTCCGAAAAAAACCGGAGAGCTCAGTCCGGTATAGCAAAGGCAACAGTAAATTGGACCTGAAAAGATTTTTCCATTTTCTTTAAATCTCCGTAAGGTCTCCATGAAACGAACCACATTCTACGAAGAGAAGCGTTACTAACATTCTAATAACCATTTGACTCCCTAAGAGTGACAAGCATCTAACTTCTCCCCCCCGAATCACACATAAAGGTCACGACAATAAAGGAAATGATCACCAGCTAAAGAAGCTCATGATTATTAGACAAATTCTCCATGTCAACACCTCAGGAAATGTATAGAGAACAGTATGGAGAAGATGCATACTGATGTTAGGGTATAAAGGGTTAAAGCTGTCCATGGGATTTTCCGCAAAGCCTCCTTTGGGAGTGACATTGCGTGACATCCTAGCTCTGGAACGCCTCCTTCGGCAGTAACGTTGCATGACATCCTAGCTCTAGAGCGGTTGCAAAGGAGACCCATCCTAGCGATCGATTCACACTTATTTCGTGCAAACTACCCATGTTCCGGGAAACCCTCGGAATATATTTGAGAAATACTTTTGTTGATAGTTCATGTAGGTGATGCTAGAGGAGAGGTTTTATTTTTTATGTAAATGACAAGTCAACTGCGAATCTGACACCTCTCCAGTACACTAAGCTAAAATCACACACACAACTGATAAAGAGAAAATAGTACATTCAGTCCACTAAAAATTTGGCTAAAATGTCTTTGAGGTCAAAATTATTTCTAGGTTTTTCTTGTTAGAAACTTCATCTCCGTCAAGGACTGTCTCAACAATAGGATATTTCTGAATCACTGTACTTTGGTTTGGTTTCAACGAATAAAGCGATACTCGGTCCATCCTCGCAGTTTTTCCATTGTACAAGATTAAGATACGCGAAAAATATTTACTGAAGCGCCCAGTTCTGTTTCTGAAACAATCTTTAGTTCATTGTCGTAAGAGACGGAAACTAAAGACCACTATCGGCAGACAAATACAAGTGTGTGGGAATAGGATAGCGCTCAACACCAGGTCTTTTACTGAGAGTTTTTCTTAGCTATACCAAACTCTTTTTTTGAAAAAATGAAGCGAAATTGCTCACGAAGGGCAAAAGAACAAATTTTGAAGCATTCAAATAAAGGTTGCTTACCCTAAGAATCGATCTCGAACAAACTAAAATACAGTAAAGTTATTTCCGGTGTCGACGCTATGAAAGTCAAAAGGAATGAAATTCACTACTAAAACTACCCACCCTTCATCAGGTATACTTTTCTGTCACATAAAGTACTGCTCGATATAATTTTACGAAAGATTCGTTGAAAGCGCAAGACCCCTTTGAATTTTAGTAAGCTAAACGGGTTTGACACAGAAAAGTGAAATAGGAAACCCTTCGAATTCTCACCCGATGTCTCTGGGGTGTTAAAATTGTCCAGTAGTCAATACTTAGATAAGAAACCAGGCAAAACTCTATGTCTTTTGTTAGTCACTGGATTTACTAACCTCCTCCATTCTTTTGGCACAAGTAAGGGAAACGCCATACATTTCCAAGACCAACAGCAAATCCGACAGTGGCAAGCATGTACTCCAATTTATTTCCCCATCCTTTCCGCTTCGCCTCCACTTCAACTTGGAGCTCGTCATCGTTTTCCTCATCAGTGATGACCTGTTCCTCATCAGTGATGACCTGTTCCTCGTTTGAGGGTGAGGTGACTGTGACCGTAATATGTCCGTTTGATTCGCCTTTTTCCGACATTTTCTCTAGCACTCTTGCAGTACGATCCGTGCAAGCTACCAGGCACCCTTGGGAGTTAAGACCTGGAAAACTACATGTCACTTCAGACAGTAACTTATTCCAGTTATTAAAGAATATCGAGTTTCTACAAAACAATCGATTCAAAGAAAAATGTATTGTGGTCACTCAATCAACACAATCTGGAAAAAAAATCCTTTGTTGAAAAAACATTGAAAGATATTGAAAGTCAGTTGAGAAATATAAATAACTCAGGTAAAAAGAAATAAAAAAAACCCTATCTCTCCCTTGATGAACGTGGTTTCAGTGGTATGTTGATTTAAGCGTTTCAGGCAAATATTAACCTACTACCTTAACAGAAAACTTTAATTAGCATTTCCCGCAAAGCCACGTATTGCATAGTGGTTCGGTCTGTTCTATCAATATTTCCATTTTAGCAAGGACATGTTTTACCCAGTCGTAATTGCACGGGAAATCCATGGGTAACGCCGGAACAAACATTGTACAAAGTGAATCCAAACGGAGGAAAAAAAGCTTTTTATTTCAAAATCACCAGTCTTTTTAAACAGTAATCAGCTGTCTGTCATGTGTCCTTGTCAGAACAAGACATGGTATCGGTCTAACGCGGGAGGGGGGGGGGGGTAATTGGAATAGAGTGGCTGACCGATGGAGGGATTAGGAACTTGAAAAAAGTCAATAATAATTACGATAATGGCTGTTATTATGTTATTTTTTATTTAAACATGACAACGATCCATTTTCTATCGCAACAATCATCTCATAAACATCAAATAAAACCAAACCTCTCCAGTCTCTGCGAAGAGTGACTGAAACTATATAAGCGGCGTATTGGACTGTACTAGAGCTCATGCACTGTTGACTGTATATATTGAAAAAATGAACCTATCTGGAGTCTTGTAATTATATTAGTCTACAATGTTCCTATTTGATCTATTTTCATAATGTAGTTTCTATCGAGGCTAGGGCTGTCTTAGTTAACCGTTCAATTCCTAAAAGAAAAAGGAATTTCTCATGGCGCTCTGCGTTCTCCAAATATCATCTTTGGTTATTTCGCATTGTAGTTTTCCTCAGCGAAGTTCTAGTCGCGGTTTCTGTCCTTCTTTTCGAAAGGTTGTTCTAATTTTTGTGCGCCAACATTTGAAGTCATGAGGCAAGACCTAAGACGACATGTGGCCCTACATTTAAAGTAATGAGGCAAGACCTAAGACCCTTTGCCTCGTGATCATGAGGCAAGACCTAAGAACCTTTGAAGTCATGAGGCAACGCCCAAGACCCTCTGCCGTGTGTACTCCCAGACGAGTAGAGCCCCACTAACATGCACGTTGAGGGACCTTATGATGCCAACCTGTGGAATCTCTACGCACACATCAAGCATCTGAATCAGCTCTACGGGTATGCCCTGTTTCTCGTTGCCAAGCAACAATAGCGACTTGTGTGGGAACTGGTAATGAGTTAAGTTCACGCTATTTGCTGTTTGCTCAGCGCCGATTAGCGTGTAGCCTTCATGACGCATGCGCGCCAGGTAGGACTTGAGCTCCGACTCGCGAGCCTCGTCGATGTTCATCCATTTGGCAGCGGTAACGCTTAGAGATTTGAATTGGATGTCTTCGAGTACATGAGAGTTACTAAGCACCAAGGTCTGGACGCCAAATATTTCACAAGTACGGCAAAGGCCGCCCAGATTTGGAGCCTTGTCGATTAGTGAAGCAACCACTATCAAACTTCCAGCTGAGCTCTTCTCAAGGTTCGCCAATCGCTGCCGTTGCATTTCTGATATAATATCTGCGTCGGGAGGAATCACTTTCCAAGGGACGATTTTTTTCTGGACATCACCGCTCTGTACTTCAGAAGTCCTCGCTGAATCGTTTATTTGCGCAGTGTTTTTACTGTTCGTTCTCTCGCCCGCTAATCGTCGACGAATTTGTTCCCCCACGTTTTCACCGTAGTTAAAATATGGACCATGAGAAATCTGAGCCAGATGTGTATCATCAGGATTGTACAGCGGCAGTACACCAAGGCCATGCTTACGAGAACCCCAAACGCGCATGCCTAACCATCCCTCAGTGAACACTTTGGGAGAAATCCATTCTTCATCAGTAACCTCTGTTAAACGAGGAAGAGTCTCGAACAGAGTCTGCATAGAAAAGTCTCGGTGGGGATGCAAATCAAGGAAGAAAAAGTCTCCCAGCAAGCGAACTTTCTGACGTACACTTTCATTATTCGTCTCCAAGAAGTGCACACAAGACTGAATGATGGCGTGGTTGGACGTCACGTCATGCAGATTCTCTCGCTGGCACGTAAGCCACATCTTCTGTAACGTCACCTGGGCATAGGCCTGGACCTGAGAGAGACAAACACCAATAGATTACTCACCTGCCTCTACTTGGCGGATAACCAGCGTCAAACCTTTTATGGAAAACCACTGGTATTTTTCCAGCTGTTTTTTTCTTTCCTATTCTTAACTTACGATTTGACAGAATTGCAATTGGTGATGTTCTGATCAAAGTGCAAATTTCATACCTTGCCTTCTTAACTCTTTATTGTTTGGTAGCTAGTGTTCCCTGAACACAGCAGACCGCGTATGCGAATTCTTCAGATAAGACGAACAACGAACGATGGGCAAAACTTGCCTTAATTTGGTTTCAACGAAATTCTGTATAACATTAACCCATGAAACAGCTACGTTTCTGGGCGAATGAACAGGTTGGTCAATAACCGACTCGACAGTTTCATCCAAAGTCTTTACCCGTTGCGCCCTATCAGCTGACAACCTTAAAACTCTTCATCGGAAGAGGGACTTAATACTTTTTCGCCCAAGAGTTCATAATACCTAAGTAAAAACGAAGATGATAGACGCTGTTATTGTCAAATCATCATTTTTCTCTGACTTAGGGCTAAAAATCGACCGCTGGCCTAAAAGCTGGCTAGCAACGAGAAGAAAAGAACATGGTAATTTATTAATACTTCGCCGCTAGAGCCAAAACGACGGTGGATAATGTCCGGCGCTTTACTTTTCAAACATGATCTAAGAAACAATAACACAGATATATCATACCATAACATGTGATGTTAACGCCCAAGGGAGTATAGTGGGAAAAGCCTGCTGGAAATAAGCCGCCTGGGAGCGGGAATCTGAAAATGAAAACTCGCCAACGAGCGCTGCAACGGCAAGAAGTGACGACACACTACCAGCTTTTCTCTCAACATCGTACTTCAGTTGTGCCCATAACAAAGGCTCGAGGCTTGGGTACCTGATGAAACAAGACACATTATTTCTACCGTTAGTTCTTATTTGCTTGGCGACCATGGTGCTCCTTTTCAAAGGTAAGCCATCAGGGAATCACACTTCCAAGTCTTTCCTCTCAGAATACAGAGAGCATACGAGACTGATCCACAAAGCTACCAGTGGGGATCCCGGTGTCTATACCACAAAACAACTAAGAGTGAAGTTAATACTAATAGGTGGGATACTCCCCAACGCAGATCACCCTACGGTCAGGGTAACACCCTGGACTCGCGATCTGAAGCTCCCGGGTGCGAATCCCGGGACACGGTTTTAATAGGCCTACTAGTCCGCCTCTGTAACTTTTACCTGGAATTTTTACCATGCTATAAAACATTTGAATTATTGGTTTCCCTGATATTGGTTTTTTTGATGTAGAAATTAAACTTTTTCCTCCAAAGACACAACATAGTGAAATTGATCCTAGATTCGTGTTGAGCAAAGGCCTTCTGATCTGCGCCGATGTATGTTCAGCGCTCTGAAGCTTAGGCCACCGGAAACTTTGGGGAGAGAGGGGAGGGAGGGTGCCTCCATTAACAGCTGGTTTGGCTCTGAGAATGGAGATCACCGAAGAACATGCCTGAAACGACCACGATTTTTTTTTGGTGAGAAAAGATGTGCCTTATTTCCTGCGTTAGAGCACTTCCTAACGAACTTACTTTCCTAGGATCAGAACCACTCCCCATTTTGGTGAGAAAAGATGTGCCTTATTTCCTGCGTTAGAGCACTTCCTAACGAACTTACTTTCCTAGGATCAGAACCACTCCCCATTTTGGTGAGAAAAGATGTGCCTTATTTCCTGCGTTAAAGCACTTCCTAACGAACTTACTTTCCTAGGATCAGAACCACTCCCCATTTTGGTGAGAAAAGATGTGCCTTATTTCCTGCGTTAGAGCACTTCCTAACGAACTTACTTTCCTAGGATCAGAACCACTCCCCATTTTGGTGACAAAAGATGTGCCTTATTTCCTGCGTTAGAGCACTTCCTAACGAACTTACTTTCCTAGGATCAGAACCACTCCCCATTTTGGTGACAAAAGATGTGCCTTATTTCCTGCGTTAGAGCACTTCCTAACGAACTTACTTTCTTAGGATCAGAACCACTCCCCATTTTGGTGAGAAAAGATGTGCCTTATTTCCTGCGTTAGAGCACTTCCTAACGAACTTACTTTCCTAGGATCAGAACCACTCCCCATTTTGGTGAGAAAAGATGTGCCTTATTTCCTGCGTTAGAGCACTTCCTAACGAACTTACTTTCCTAGGATCAGAACCACTCCCCATTGAAGAAAGTTCCGGACCGACATTTGGTTCTCGGAAAGAATGGCGCGGAAAATCCCTTCCAACACTCGACTGGCAAACATCTCATCAACGACGTCGGCATCAAAAAAGCGAGAGAGCACCACGAGAACAGCTTGCCACACTCGGTGCTTTCTCCTATGTGAGTACGAGTTAATAGAGGAACGGGGTTTATCTTCCGACAGCTCGCCGTTCTTACTGATCAAAGATTCGGCGAGACGTTGTAGAAGCTTCGCATCCTGAGTGTCCATCGGATTTAAAGTCATTAACACGTTAATCGCGTTCACTCGCACTCGCGTGTCATCGCGCAACTCGTCCGACTTGAAGGAACAAATCACCCCTTCCCTGCCCAACCGACGAACGTATTCCAGCACGTAATTTGTACCTCGCGCCGTTTTCTTTT